CCACGTTGTGGTCAGGATTCTACCACGTTGTGGTGACCTCAGGACAAAACAGTCGCGAGGTCGCCTCTCGCCACATCGTGGAGGTCAGTCCTCCACGTTGTGGGAGTTACTCTGGCCAGCTTACTTCATTAAGCTCTTAATCCTTTAACTGTGACATCCTCAATTTCTCGGCCAGAAAAGACCGATTTGTTTATGCTTTGTTTTTAAAATCAGAGTAATCTTTTAAAGAAAACAGTTGCGGAATTTGTTCCCAAAACAAAATATGATAAAAATTATTAAAGCATTTCTTTAAAGAAATGTATTTTCATTATATAACAAAATATCGGGATGTCATGTTCCGATACAGACACATAAGCATAAATTACACTAAAGATTTTACATCTCCTTTAATCTCTCTGTGAAATATATCTTCGTATCGATACCTGTGATACAAAGAAAACTGAGTGGGTCAGGCTTGGGAGCCTGGTGAGCATATAGGGTTTTTAACCCACAATAATATAATTATTATATTCAACCATCAAACAATCAACCCAATTACCCATCCCCATTATCTTCTTTATTTCTTAGGATTTTACCCTAAGAATTCAACTACCCGTCATTCATTCATTCCTAAGGATTGACCTAAGGAATTAGCACAAAATCTATTGCTACATAAGGCGCATCTACCAACATCATCCTTTAAGCGCCTCTGTCAGGATTACCTCATACACTATGAGGCGCGACTGCCAGGTTTATGACATTCTCTTTTAGGCACATCTGCCGACATTATCCTATAAGCGCATCTGCTAGGATTATCCTATAAGCGCATCTGCTAGTGTTATGACATTCTCTATTTGGCGCATCTACCGACATTATCCTATAAGCGCATCTGTCAGGATTACGACATTCACTACTTGGTGCATCTACCAATATTATCCTTGAGTGCATCTTTCATACCTCATCATTTCATCACATACCAACTATTTCATCTACCCATGTTCTACCCAACATATTTGTGGATATAAAATACATATACAATTTAACTCGTTTAAAAAAAAAAAACTATATAAGACATCCATTACACACTCATCTCAATAAACAACAATATATAAACACATAGCACGTATTTTATAACAAATATTTCATATTTATGTGTTAGAAGAAAGTAACCACACGTTCACCCAAACATATACTTAATACATTCAAACAATACTTGTATTATACCCGTGTTTATGAAAAAGACTATACACCCACACATATAAACAACTTTATATTATACACATAGCACATATTTCATAGCAAATACTTAATATTTATGCGTTAGAAGAAGGTAACTACACACTCACTTGATCAGAAGATGATCGGAGAACACTACGGCTTGTAGAAGTAGTATTCTTCGGTAGATCTGGAAGATCTTCACAAAAACCGGACTCCTCGCGGGCAGAGCTTCGGCTCGGGAATTTCACTTCTCGGGATCTTCGGGGCCTCAGGAATTTCACTTCTCGGGATATTCGGGGCCTCGGGACTTGCTTCGGGGCTCAGGAATGATACCGGGGCTTCGAGATAATTCTTGCACGAAAAACGATGCAAAAACACGAGATAAACGGAAGAAATGAGCAAAAGAATCGGCTGCCCTCGACATCCTTTTATAAGGGGCTGAAACTCAAATTACGCTG